TGGTGACACCATTTAGAGGAGCGACACCAAGGCAAAAATTGCAAAATGTACATAAGAAAAATGCTTTTTGCGAGTTCCATAAATGATTAATTCAAGTTCAATAGTCTTTTAATTACAAATCGACAATTAATACAACTATGGAACTAAAACTAAAAACAAACACAAAAGAAAACACAAACACAACGCAAAAAAACCGGGAGTGATCTCCCCTAAACTTTCTCGAATATTCTTATATAACTCGGAATATAGACATGATTTTTAATTACTTAAACTTTTAAAAATAGAATAGAATCTCGTAGAAAAAAGAATTGCGCACCAAGCGAACGCCAAAAAAAATGTGCATAATAATATATTATTGGTACTCTATAAATTTACATGCGTTTTTTTTTAGAAATTGGAAATAGCGTAAATTAGTACTTCCGGTCATCGGAAATTACTCAAAATTTGATAGTAGGTAGAGAATTAGATCTTTTACTTACATGTGAAATTTCATTTATCTATCGGAAACAGTACTCAAGTTATAGGCTTTTGCAAAATTCAAAGTAGAAAAAGTACTACTTCCGGTTATTGGAAATCGCTCAAAAGTTGATACGGATCTACGATTTTGATAAAATACTTATATATGAAATTTTTCATCAACCTAGCTGTAACGGTACTCAAGTTATCGTGGTTACACACACACAGACAGACAGACAAACAGACACACACACACACACACATACGGACAAGATTGCAAAATTATGTTTTTCCGTATCAGTGAGGTGTAAAACGTCGAGATTTGTAAAAATCTCGATTTTTTTTTTTTTTGCACGATTACAAGACTTTCTCTACACTTCGTATATACGAGAAAGTAAAAAAACGCAAACACAAAAGAAAATACAAACACAAAAGAAAACGCAAACACAAATACAATGCAAACGAAAAAGAAAAAAAAACGAAAACGCAAACACAAACATTAAAGCTCACGGAAAGGGAGGGGCGCCAAATAGCACCTTGTCGGGGCGCCCCAGGACGCCCTGGCTTCAATTTAGTGAACGACTATAGTAACCATTTTTACCCATACCTTATCGAAAACTTTTTTAAAAAGTATGCACCATAGCGCTCACAAGATTGCCCAGGACGCAAAATCGCACCTTCGCGAACGGAAAGATAGTAGTAAACATAGAGGATGTTAAGCAGAGGATTCTAAACTGCTACTGATTAAAAATAATAATAAGTAAACAGTAAGTTTAGTGTATAAAATAAATAAAAAACAGTTTTAAAAATATCAGTGTTTTACCTACCACATTGCACTTTATCAATCAATGCTAAATTAGTTTCAACATCAAAACTAACAAAAAGTGTTTTTTTTCCTGATGTAATGTTTTTTAAAAGGAAGTAAAAAATTTTATGATCTATCAAGGAAAGTAATTAATACTAAAGGAACAAAGGGAAGTAATTTCAGAAAAAAAGGTAATATATTTTATTTGATTGTTTTCAATCATATGAAAAATGATAAGTTTGAAAAATTAATGCTGTTTTACTAAACGCGCCTGATTCAGTTTAGTGAACGACTCCTAAATTCCTATTTTATACATAGTCTATTGAGCTGTTTAAAACAAACGTAGACGCTATAGCGCTCACGGGATAGCCCGGGCGCCAAAGTGCTCCCTGCCGGATCTCCGGCGAACGCGTTGTGGCGTAGCTACCCTAAAGCTAGCGTAAGCAAGTAATAGGGGCCCAATGCATATAGGGTTCCTTTCCCTTTTAAAAAAAATTAAAAACCATTAGTTGAAATTTTTATATTTTTATACAAATTTTAAAAAGCAAAAGTTTCCAAAATGTACCCCGTCCTTTCTAACTGTACAGCCAGTGTATATATATATATATATATATATATATATATATATATATATATATATATATATATATATATATAAAATCTGCATACCCGTGCTCCGCAACGGTAAATCTTTTTTAAATGCACCAACTTGGGAACAGAACTAAACTAAACACAACACAAACACAACACGAACACACCACAAACACACCACAAAATAAAACACAAACACAAAGAAAACGCAAACACAACACAAACACAACTAAAAACACAAACACATCTCAAAACACGAACACAAAAGAAAACACAAACACAATGAAAACAAACACAATGCAAACACAAACGAAAACACAAACGCAACACACAAAAGACAACACTCATAACATAAACACGACTTAAATGCAAAAATAAACGCATAGCGCTCACAGTCTAGCCCATGGCGCAAAAATCGCATCCTGTCCGAGCGTCGGCGGACGCGCCTCATTTAGTGAACGACTACAAAAACCCCAGCTTGTCCGCAAACCGAAAGATAGAATAATAATTAGTAAACAGTACGTTCAGTGTATAAAATAAATAAAATGCAGTATATAAAATATCCGTGTTTTACCTACCATATTTCACTTTATCAATTCATGCATTTTATTTTCAGTAATTTAAATTTAAAAAAATTTAAATTGAGTTTCATGACTAAAACCATTGCGCACCTAATGAACATGATAGTGCTGAATAGTTGATTAAAATTATAATTAGTAGGCCTAAACAGTACGTTCAATGAATAAAATAAATAAAAGATTGCCTTTTATTAATCCATGCTAATTATAATATTCTAACAATAATATGGTCTTACACGTCTGCAGAATTTGCATCTACATTTTGCTAATTATAATATTCCAAAAATAATTCCCTCTTGGAGGTTTTGCAACCACAAAAAAAAATTTTATTAGCATGAGTTTTAATTTTAAATTACCTCCCTTGGTAAAGTGCAAAACAGTATAATTAATTAGTTTTTTCGACCCTATTATTATTAACATGTATCCACTTTTCTAGAAATCTAGAAGGAAGGTTTTGTAGGGGTTAAGTGGTCTAACGTTTGTAACTGTAATGTAGATCTATTGCTACTAAATCTTGTACTTAACTAGAGAATCCAGAATTTATACTAACTAGATCTAGATTTAAATTATCTATATTACTGCATTTTATGTAGAGGCGTAGCGAACCTTCCCGGCGCCCGAGGACAAACTTTCAAGTTTGCGCCCCCTCCCCTCTTCGGGAGCAACTTTTCAATTTGCGCCCCCCCCCCCCATATATTTTTTTTTATATTTATAATGCAAAAATGCAGCTAAAATGAGATTTTAATTTGGTATTACAACCCACTTTGGCGCCCCTTAAGAAGGTCGGCACCCGGGGCCATATGTACCCCCCCCCCCCCTAATTTTATGTAAACACGAATATAACAATCTTCAGTTCCTAAAAGTTTTTACTTATTGTTCCTGTTCTGCGGGTGCGAGGCTCTTAACGTATGATGAACACATGTTGAGACACGTCCAGCACTGTACAACAGCTGATTGTTTGCTGGCGGCGGACGTAGGTCACGTGTTTGCAAGGACTCTATACATGAAATTTTGTCAACATGACTGAAACAGTACCCAAGTTATCGTAAACTGCCTTGTAGTTTGTTCTTGGTTGGACAAAGGCTATGGAAGCAAATCCAAAAAGAAAAGCAGGCTGAAATGGCCTGAAATGAGTCAATGGCTACAATGGCGCAAAATCAGTTGACACGTAATCCTTAATTGTGATGGAAGCATGGTCGAGTCGGCAAAGCTCGTGGTTGATACATTCGAAAAAAAGTCTCGAGTTCAAACCCTCTGGCAGATAAGGCTCGATCCCTCCCAACACTAAAAATTAAGAACGAAGAAGAAGACTCAGACTGACAGACAAAATTGAAAAGCAAAGTTTTTCCGGTTCAGGGAGGCGTAAAACGTCGAGATGTGTAAGAAAATAACGTTCTTTCGTGTATTTTTTTTTTCATTAAAAAATTGTATCATTAATTTTCCCGACAGAAGCATTTTTTCCCCCGAAAAAAATCAACTCTTAATTATTTTTTTAACTTTTTCTTCTTAAAATAAAAATACAGACTATCTTTCTTCAGTAAATTAAAAAAATTACTTAAAATGTATATTAATGTGTAGAGTCTAACTAAAGCATTCAATGACTTTTTATATTAGTAGGCTTATGTGTGGGATTTTAAACAGACATGTAAAAAGGTATGCAGTCGTTCTGTGGCATTTTGACTTTAGAAAAAGCTCCAGTGAAACGTGAAAATAACTCAGGGCTTAAACTTAAATAGTTAAAATTCATTAAAAATATTATTTTAATAGTACCAACTTCCAAGCTTTTTTTTAATAAACACAAAACATTTTTTTGGCGTGGGCTTCCAATGGACACACAGGCGTTGCTAGGCAGGTTTGACCTATGGCAGGGGTTCCCAACCTTTTTTTTTTACTCTAGAGCACATTCTAAAATATCGGTAGGGTGGCGGGCACCGCCTATTTTAAATCGACAAACTCCCTCCATAACTTGTCATCTTCCCATAATTTATTTTCTTATTTTCTTCTAGTCATAATGTATTAATAAATAATAAACAAAAATGTTTCAAAATAATAAAATTATTTGGCATTTTTTTCAAATTGCATACACACAGAGAAATGTATTTACAAAACGTAAAGAAAGTAAACAAACACATAAATACAAAGAAAACATTTAATTAATCGGCACCAGTCAAAAATAGTTCCTTAAACAACTCACCATCAATGAAAGGTTTCTTCTTTTTTGCGAGCACGTGTGATATTTTGAAAGAAGCAATAGTGGCCTTTTTAGAATTTTCAACATGTCTAGTGAAAAACAGTCTGTTGTGCTGTTAGACTTGATTTTAGATTACAATTTTTTTTTCTTTCTTACTTCAGATTTAAGAGGATAATTCACATTGAAAGTGCCATGATTTGTCTGAAAGTGTCGTTCAACGTTATGTTTTTTCGGCACTGCGATGCTACTACCGCACAACAAACAAACGCATTTATTTTTCAAATTAACGAAACAATATGATTCCTCCCAGTCAGTGTTAAAATTATAAGCTTTTAGCCTGTTAATTTTTTTTTTATAGAAAACTCCTAATTCGTGTTTCGTCTGACGAACATGTCTCTTATCTAACTGTCGCGACCCGAACAGGGCAGCAATCACAGTGACAACAACGCGGTTCCAGGCGGGGAATGCTTTTTGCACATCACCCGAAATGAGCCGATGATCGCCGAAGCAATCAGAGTTATGTGCCTTGTGATTTGGCGCCTTCGGTGCAGTCTGGCTCGCCGTTAGAAAAGTTGGGAAAAGTATCGAACATATTTAATAAACCTAGGCAGTCAAAAAAAAATTAAAACTGTAACAAATGAATAAAAATAAATCATATTTTAAAATGTTTATGAAAAAAATTCTGTCTCTGTCGAATAGTGAGAGGCGGACACATACCAATAGTTCAGCGGGCGACATGGCGCCCGCGGGCACAGGGTTGGGAACCCCTGACCTATGGTAAGGTTGACTGTAGTTGCTGTACAAACTAGCTAGATCTACATGTTGTTGCTACTTTGTTGTGTTCATGACATCCTTCAATATTTTGTATTGTTTTATTTTATATTCTTATGAGATTACGCCCTTCATGTATTAAAATACTCATTAAAGAAACAGATATTTTGAAATCAAAATACACAGCAATTTCTTTATTATTTTTTTTTTAAACGCTGAATCTTAAGATATGAACATATTTCAAGTTCATAAAGTATTTTCATGTTTTGGATAATATTGGTTGCCTTGAGTAAATGTCCATTTGAGAATAGATCCAATGAGCAAATGGCAGTCAGACCACAGCTCCCCTAGTTATAAACCAGGGCAACATGGTAAATATAGAAAACTACTGCCATTTCATAAAAATTGTTTTTTATTTTTAAAGTCAGTAAATATTAAAACATATATCCATCAAAATACAGAGTAATAACACAGTATACTACATAAAATACATTTAAAATAATATCAGCTCAAAACTAACCAGCCGTAAAATTGATATGAGCTTCAAATTAAAGTCTTTATAAGACGACCCTAATTAATTATTCCACAATCAAGTTAGCCACACCAACAAGCTGTTCCAACAGTCAAGTTAGCCACACCAACAAGCTGTTCCAACAGTCAAGTTAGCCACACCAACAAGCTGTTCCAACAGTCAAGTTAGCCACACCAACAAGCTGTTCCAACAGTCAAGTTAGCCACACCAACAAGTTGTTCCAACAGTCAAGTTAGCCACACCAACAAGCTGTTCCAACAATCAAGTTAGCCACACCAACAAGCTGTTCCAACAGTCAAGTTAGCCACACCAAAAAGCTGTTCCAACAATCAAGTTAGCCACACCAACAAGTTGTTCCAACAGTCAAGTTAGCCACACCAACAAGCTGTTCCAACAATCAAGTTAGCCACACCAACAAGCTGTTCCAACAGTCAAGTTAGCCACACCAACAAGTTGTTCCAACAATCAAGTTAGCCACACCAACAAGCTGTTCCAACAGTCAAGTTAGCCACACCAACAAGCTGTTCCAACAGTCAAGTTAGCCACACCAACAAGCTGTTCCAACAATCAAGTTAGCCACACCAACAAGCTGTTCCAACAGTCAAGTTAGCCACACCAATAAGCTGTTCCAACAGTCAAGTTAGCCACACCAACAAGCTGTTCCAACAGTCAAGTTAGCCACACCAACAAGCTGTTCCAACAGTCAAGTTAGCCACACCAACAAGCTGTTCCAACAGTCAAGTTAGCCACACCAACAAGTTGTTCAAGAATTATTTGTCTGAGTTCCTAGGACCTCTTGAAACTTCTCATTAGCAATGTCACAGATCAGATGCAACACCATGATTAGACCATCTGATGAAAACAGCTGAAACATGGGCAGAGTTTGTTATGGCACTCACGTCTAGCTTGTGCTAACAAACATGTTTGTAATGCTAACAAAAATTGTATTAAGTGCTAACAAGTAAACAAAAACATGTTCCAGCTTACTTTGATTTTGCCTTGACTTGAAATGTAGGCCAATGAAGTGCCCACTTCTGACAATCTCAGTTTCTGCAATCATCAAATGTAGCACATTCAAATTACCAGTACAAAATATTTTTTTTGTAACAGATTCAAGTGAGACATGTAAATATGTAGCAGATTTAAGCGAGATGTAAAGAAGAAAGAACTTACACTGAAGACGATGTGCATGGTGTACTCTAAGTGTGCCTCCAGAGATTCAACAAATCTGTTCACCTCCTGCTCATTCATGGCTTCTCTCTCAACAGGCAGACCATGCATTCTGTCAGGGTGGGGAGGGCAAGGAAGGAAGTGAAGCCACACATTCATTGATGAGGTAATACATTTTATAAGTTGTGTTTTTACCGTAGGAGGTAACACATGTGTAGGGCTACACGTTACACAGGTAGACCTTGGTGATGTCTCACCTAGATCTGGGTGGTGTCTCACCTAGACCTGGGTGGTGTCTCACCTAGACCTGGGTGATGTCTCACCTAGATCTGGGTGGTGTCTCCCCTACACAGGTAGACCTGGGTGGTGTCTCACCTACACAGGTAGACCTGGGTGGTGTCTCACCTAGACCTGGGTGGTGTCTCACCTACACAGGTAGACCTGGGTGGTGTCTCACCTACACAGGTAGACCTGGGTGATGTCTCAACTACACAGGTAGACCTGGGTGGTGTCTCACCTAGACCTGGGTGGTGTCTCACCTAGACCTGGGTGATGTCTCACCTACACAGGTAGACCTGGGTGGTGTCTCACCTAGACCTGGGTGGTGTCTCACCTAGACCTGGGTGGTGTCTCACCTACACAGGTAGACCTGGGTGGTGTCTCACCTAGACCTGGGTGGTGTCTCACCTACACAGGTAGACCTGGGTGGTGTCTCACCTAGACCTGGGTGGTGTCTCACCTAGACCTGGGTGGTGTCTCACCTACACAGGTAGACCTGGGTGGTGTCTCACCTACACAGGTAGACCTGGGTGGTGTCTCACCTAGACCTGGGTGGTGTCTCACCTAGACCTGGGTAGTGTCTCACCTACACAGGTAGACCTGGGTGGTGTCTCACCTACACAGGTAGACCTTGGTGGTGTCTCACCTACACAGGTAGACCTGGGTGGTGTCTCACCTACACAGGTAGACCTTGGTGGTGTCTCACCTAGATCTGGGTAGTGTCTCACCTAGACCTGGGTGGTGTCTCACCTAGACCTGGGTGGTGTCTCACCTAGACCTGGGTAGTGTCTCACCTACACAGGTAGACCTTGGTGGTGTCTCACTTACACAGGTAGACCTGGGTGGTGTCTCACCTAGACCTGGGTGGTGTCTCACCTAGACAGGTAGACCTGGGTGGTGTCTCACCTAGACCTGGGTGGTGTCTCACCTACAGGCAACAATGCAACTCACATTTTTCCTTAGGGTTACAGTAAGTAATGACACCACTCTCTGTGTATGCTTACAGGATGTAATTACAGGGTGTAATTACATCTCCACACTGGACTAAGTGGCTTGAGGTGAGCCACTCAAACGATGGCCACTTCAATTCTATCTTAAATCTTTTTTTAGAATCAAAACAATTAGATATGTAAAAAATGATGTGTTTCTTGACTTACCTTTCCCATAATTCCTTGCAAAAGCCAGCATCAAATCTACAGCTGATAGTGCTGATGTCCTCACAAGACTGGGGTACTGAGTACTGCAGCAGCACAGGATGCGCTTTAGCAGCTGAAGATGTACAGGATATACTAGAATGACAGCCAGCCTACAATCTTCAGCCCCACTCAATCTACAGCCCCACTCAATCTACAGCCCCACGCCCCACTCAATCTACAGCCCCCCTCAATCTACAGCCCCACTCAATCTACAGCCCCACGCCCCACTCAATCTACAGCCCCATGCCCACTCAATTTACAGCCCCATGCCCACTCAATTTACAGCCCCACTCAATCTACAGCCCCACTCAATCTACAGCCCCACGCCCCACTCAATCTACAGCCCCACTCAATCTACAGCCCCACGCCCCACTCAATCTACAGCCCCACTCAATCTACAGCCCCACTCAATCTACAGCCCCACTCAATCTACAGCCCCACTCAATCTACAGCCCCACTCAATCTACAGCCCCACGCCCCACTCAATCTACAGCTAATACAAGACTTACAGAGATGACAGACAAGACTTACAGATATGACAGACAAGACTAACAGAGATGACAGACAGACAAGACTTACAGAGATGACAGACAAGACTTACAGATATGACAGACAAGACTAACAGAGATGACAGACAGACAAGACTTACAGAGATGACAGACAAGACTTACAGAGATGACAGAAAAGACTTACAGAGATGACAGACAGAAAAGACTTACAGAGATGACAGACAAGACTTACAGAGATGACAGACAGAAAAGACTTACAGAGATGACAGACAAGACTTACAGAGATGACAGACAAGACTTACATAATTGACAGACAAGACTTACAGAGATGACAGACAAGACATACAGAGATGACAGACAGACAAGACTTACAGAGATGACAGACAGACAAGACTTACAGATATGACAGACAAGACATACAGAGATGACAGACAGACAAGACTTACAGAGATGACAGACAGACAAGACAGACAAGACTTACAGAGTTGACAGATGACAGACAGACAAGACTTCCAGAGATGACAGACAGACAAGACATACAGAGATGACAGACAAGACTTACAGAGATGACAGACAAGACTTACAGAGATGACAGACAGACAAGACTTACAGATATGACAGACAAGACTTACAGAGATGACAGACAGACAAGACTTACAGAGATGACAGATGACAGACAGACAAGACTTACAGAGATGACAGACAAGACTAACAGAGATGACAGACAAGACTAACAGAGATGACAGACAAGACTTACAGAGATGACAGATAAGACTTACAGAGATGACAGACAAGACTTACAGAGATGACAGACAAGACTAACAGAGATGACAGACAGACAAGACATACAGAGATGACAGACAAGACTTACAGAGATGACAGACAAGACTTACAGAGATGACAGACAGACAAGACATACAGAGATGACAGACAAGACTTACAGAGATGACAGACAGACAAGACATACAGAGATGACAGACAAGACTTACAGAGATGACATACAGACAAGACAGACAAGACTTACAGAGATGACAGATGACAGACAGACAAGACTTACAGAGATGACAGACAAGACTTACAGAGATGACAGACAAGACTTACAGAGATGACAGACAAGACTTACAGAGATGACAGACAGAAAAGACATACAGAGATGACAGACAAGACTTACAGAGATGACAGACAAGACTTACAGAGATGACAGACAGACAAGACATACAGAGATGACAGACAAGACTTACAGAGATGACAGACAGACAAGACAGACAAGACTTACAGAGTTGACAGATGACAGACAGACAAGACTTACAGAGATGACAGATAAGACTTACAGAGATGACAGACAAGACTTACAGAGATGACAGACAAGACTTACAGAGATGACAGACAGACAAGACATACAGAGATGACAGACAAGACTTACAGAGATGAAAGACAAGACTTACAGAGATGACCGACAAGACTTACAGAGATGACAGACAGACAAGACTTACAGAGATGACAGACAAGACTTACAGAGATGACAGACAGACAAGACATACAGAGATGACAGACAAGACTTACAGAGATGACAGACAAGACTTACAGAGATGACCGACAAGACTTACAGAGATGACAGACAGACAAGACTTACAGAGATGACAGACAAGACTAACAGAGATGACAGACAAGACTAACAGAGATGACAGACAAGACTTACAGAGATGACAGATAAGACTTACAGAGATGACAGACAAGACTAACAGAGATGACAGACAGACAAGACATACAGAGATGACAGACAAGACTTACAGAGATGACAGACAAGACTTACAGAGATGACAGACAGACAAGACATACAGAGATGACAGACAAGACTTACAGAGATGACAGACAGACAAGACATACAGAGATGACAGACAAGACTTACAGAGATGACATACAGACAAGACAGACAAGACTTACAGAGATGACAGATGACAGACAGACAAGACTTACAGAGATGACAGACAAGACTTACAGAGATGACAGACAAGACTTACAGAGATGACAGACAAGACTTACAGAGATGACAGACAAGACTTACAGAGATGACAGACAAGACTTACAGAGATGACAGACAAGACTTACAGAGATGACAGATAAGACTTACAGATATGACACACAAGACTAACAGAGATGACAGACAGACAAGACATACAGAGATGACAGACAAGACTTACAGAGATGACAGACAAGACTTACAGAGATGACAGACAGACAAGACATACAGAGATGACAGACAAGACTTACAGAGATGACATACAGACAAGACAGACAAGACTTACAGAGATGACAGATGACAGACAGACAAGACTTACAGAGATGACAGACAAGACTTACAGAGATGACAGACAAGACTTACAGAGATGACAGACAAGACTTACAGAGATGACAGATGACAGACAGACAAGACATACAGAGATGACAGACAAGACTTACAGAGATGACAGACAAGACTTACAGAGATGACAGATGACAGACAGACAAGACATACAGAGATGACAGACAAGACTTACAGAGATGACAGACAGACAAGACATACAGAGATGACAGACAAGACTTACAGAGATGACATACAGACAAGACAGACAAGACTTACAGAGATGACAGATGACAGACAGACAAGACTTACAGAGATGACAGACAAGACTTACAGAGATGACAGACAAGACTTACAGAGATGACAGACAAGACTTACAGAGATGACAGACAAGACTTACAGAGATGACAGACAAGACTTACAGAGATGACAGACAAGACTTACAGAGATGACAGACAGACAAGACTTACAGAGATGACAGACAAGACTTACAGAGATGACAGACAAGACTTACAGAGATGACAGACAAGACTTACAGAGATGACAGACAAGACTTACAGAGATGACAGACAAGACTTACAGAGATGACAGACAGACAAGACATACAGAGATGACAGACAAGACTTACAGAGATGACAGACAGACAAGACAGACAAGACTTACAGAGTTGACAGATGACAGACAGACAAGACTTACAGAGATGACAGATAAGACTTACAGAGATGACAGACAAGACTTACAGAGATGACAGACAAGACTTACAGAGATGACAGACAGACAAGACATACAGAGATGACAGACAAGACTTACAGAGATGACAGACAAGACTTACAGAGATGACCGACAAGACTTACAGAGATGACAGACAGACAAGACTTACAGAGATGACAGACAAGACTTACAGAGATGACAGACAAGACTTACAGAGATGACAGACAAGACTTACAGAGATGACAGACAAGACTTACAGAGATGACAAACAAGACTTACAGAGATGACAGACAAGACTTACAGAGATGACAGACAAGACTTACAGAGATGACAGACAGACAAGACTTACAGAGATGACAGACAGACAAGACTTACAGAGATGACAGATAAGACTTACAGAGATGACAGATAAGACTTACATATATGACAGACAAGACTAACAGAGATGACAGACAGACAAGACATACAGAGATGACAGATAAGACTTACAGAGATGACAGATAAGACTTACAGATATGACAGACAAGACTAACAGAGATGACAGACAGACAAGACATACAGAGATGACAGACAAGACTTACAGAGATGACAGACAAGACTTACAGAGATGACAGACAGACAAGACATACAGAGATGACAGACAAGACTTACAGAGATGACATACAGACAAGACAGACAAGACTTACAGAGATGACAGATGACAGACAGACAAGACTTACAGAGATGACAGACAAGACTTACAGAGATGACAGACAAGACTTACAGAGATGACAGACAAGACTTACAGAGATGACAGATGACAGACAGACAAGACATACAGAGATGACAGACAAGACTTACAGAGATGACAGACAAGACTTACAGAGATGACAGATGACAGACAGACAAGACATACAGAGATGACAGACAAGACTTACAGAGATGACAGACAGACAAGACATACAGAGATGACAGACAAGACTTACAGAGATGACATACAGACAAGACAGACAAGACTTACAGAGATGACAGATGACAGACAGACAAGACTTACAGAGATGACAGACAAGACTTACAGAGATGACAGACAAGACTTACAGAGATGACAGACAAGACTTACAGAGATGACAGACAAGACTTACAGAGATGACAGACAAGACTTACAGAGATGACAGACAAGACTTACAGAGATGACAGACAGACAAGACATACAGAGATGACAGACAAGACTTACAGAGATGACAGACAGACAAGACAGACAAGACTTACAGAGTTGACAGATGACAGACAGACAAGACTTACAGAGATGACAGATAAGACTTACAGAGATGACAGACAAGACTTACAGAGATGACAGACAAGACTTACAGAGATGACAGACAGACAAGACATACAGAGATGACAGACAAGACTTACAGAGATGACAGACAAGACTTACAGAGATGACCGACAAGACTTACAGAGATGACAGACAGACAAGACTTACAGAGATGACAGACAAGACTTACAGAGATGACAGACAAGACTTACAGAGATGACAGACAAGACTTACAGAGATGACAGACAAGACTTACAGAGATGACAAACAAGACTTACAGAGATGACAGACAAACAAGACTTACAGAGATGACAGACAAGACTTACAGAGATGACAAACAAGACTTACAGAGATGACAGACAGACAAGACTTACAGAGATGACAGACAAGACTTACAGAGATGACAGACAAGACTTACAGAGATGACAGACAAGACTTACAGAGATGACAGACAAGACTTACAGAGATGACAAACAAGACTTACAGAGATGACAGACAAACAAGACTTACAGAGATGACAGACAAGACTTACAGAGATGACAAACAAGACTTACAGAGATGACAGACAAGACTTACAGAGATGACAGACAGACAAGACATACAGAGATGACAGACAAACAAGACTTACAAACTGCTTGCGCTGACCAACATGCCAGCATCCACCTAAGATCATTGGCTGAGAACATGAGAGGACTGGACTGGCAATCAAAGTGACTCTGGAACAGACAGGTAGCATACCAATGTTTGACTACAACAGGTAGCATACCAATGTTTGACTACAACAGGTAGCATACCAATGTTTGACTACAACAGGTAGCATACCAATGTTTGACTACAACAGGTAGCATACCAATGTTTGACTACAACAGGTAGCATACCAATGTTTGACTACAACAGGTAGCATACCAATGTTTGACTACAACAGGTAGCATACCAATGTTTGACTACAACAGGTAGCATACCAATGTTTGACTACAACAGGTAGCATACCAATGACATGTAGATCTAACAAGTCAAACAGTGTTACCTGTAGCCAGTGGAGTAGAACTGTAGATCTGACTGAGTTTCCTGACACCATGATGACAGGAAAGTAGGTGAAGCTTGCAGGCATGTCTGCAGGTTTGTTGTCCACATCAGCACAGATCAGTAGAGCATTAAGGACAGTCCGACCTGGGGACAGGACAATCTCTGGGTGAGCTGTCAACATGAGCTAAAGGTTTATGTGTTACCTGTAGGAGCTAAAGGTCTATGTGTTACCTGTAGGAGCTAAAGGTCTATGTGTTACCTGTAGGAGCTAAATAGCTTTGTGTTACCTGTAGGAGCTAAAGGTTTATGTGTTACCTGTAGGAGCTAAATAGCTTTGTGTTACCTGTAGGAGCTAAAGGTCTATGTGTTACCTGTAGGAGCTAAAGGTTTATGTGTTACCTGTAGGAGCTAAAGGTTTATGTGTTACCTGTAGGAGCTAAAGGTTTATGTGTTACCTGTTGGAGCTAAATAGCTTTGTGTTACCTGTAGGAGCTAAAGGTTTATGTGTTACCTGTAGGAGCTAAAGGTTTATGTGTTACCTGTAGGAGCTAAAGGTTTATGTGTTACCTGTAGGAGCTAAAAGTTTATGTGTTACCTGTTGGAGCTAAAGGTTTATGTGTTACCTGTTGGAGCTAAAGGTTTATGTGTTACCTGTAGGAGCTAAAGGTTTATGTGTTACCTGTAGGAGCTAAAGGTTTATGTGTTACCTGTTGGAGCTAAAGGTTTATGTGTTACCTGTAGGAGCTAAAGGTTTATGTGTTACCTGTTGGAGCTAAAGGTTTATGTGTTACCTTTGTTATTTGTCTCAAAGACCTGAATGTGGATGGCTTCTGGTTCGTCTGCATAATAAAAATAAAATATCATTAAAACAAATCACAATTAAACAATGACCTAAGTATTAATAAAATATAATGATGAACAAACCTCAATAAAATAATGACCTCAGCAATAATAAAATATGATTAATAAATCTATTTCTTATATATATATATATATAGGCCTATATATATATATATATATATATATATATATATATATATATATATATATATATATATATATATATATATATATATATATATATATATATATATATATATATATATATATGAATGTATGTCTACTACTATGATGATGCCTATTTTCATCATGGGTTACTTTTATCCTTGACTATATAAAACGTATCAGCCAGTGTACAGCAGATGAGTGACTTGGCCCCAGTCTCCATCATTAGCATTATAGCGCCTAAGTTCACTTTAAAGAGAACCATACACCATGTATATGGTGGACCTTTATAGGCGTTGACTAAATCGAATCAGGCAATCCACCTGATTGTAACATAGGTCAAAGCTTTACATTTACATCCACCTGATTGTAACAGGTCAAAGCTTTACATTTACATCCACCTGATTGTAACAGGTCAAAGCTTTACATTTACATCCACCTCCATGAATTAATGGCCTTGACACAGATGTTAAAAGGCCTTATCATTGATGAAAAAATGACCATCATGAAATTAGCCACTCACTGTTCTGAAACTTGAGACCTTTGTAGATGGAAAAATAACATTTTTCTCTCCCTTCATCGCCTCTTCTGCTTTGTTCCTGTAACAAATCCAAGATGTCAGCAAGAAGACATAAACAAGCTAAATAACAGTGTCTAGGTGGGACCCTCACAAGATGTAAGCAAGAAGATATAAACAAGCTAGATAACAGTGTCTAGGTGGGACCCTTACAAGATGTAAGCAAGAAGACATAAACAAGCTAAATAACAGTGTCTAGGTGGGACCCTCACAAGATGTAAGCAAGAAGACATAAATAAACAAGCTAGATAACAGTATCTAGGTGGGACCCTCACAAGATGTAAGCAAGAAGACATAAATAAACAAGCTAGATAACAGTATCTAGGTGGGACCCTTACAAGATGTAAGCAAGCTAGATAACAGTGTCTAGGTGGGACCCTCACAAGATATTAACAAGCTAGATAACAGTGTCTAGGTGGGACCCTCACAAGATATTAACAAGCTAGATAACAGTGTCTAGGTGGGACCCTCACAAGATATAAACAAGCTAGATAACAGTGTCTAGGTGGGACCCTCACAAGATATTAACAAGCTAGATAACAGTGTCTAGGTGGGACCCTCACAAGATGTAAGCAAGAAGACATAAATAAACAAGCTAGATAACAGTGTCTAGGTGGGACCCTCACAAGATGTAAACAAGCTAGATAACAGTGTCTAGGTGGGACCCTCACAAGATGTAAGCAAGAAGACATAAACAAGCTAGATAACAGTGTCTAGGTGGGACCCTCACAAGATGTAAGCAAGAAGACATAAATAAACAAGCTAGATAACAGTGTCTAGGTGGGACCCTCACAAGATATTAACAAGCTAGATAACAGTGTCTAGGTGGGACCCTCACAAGATGTAAGCAAGAAGACATAAATAAACAAGCTAGATAACAGTGTCTAGGTGGGACCCTCACAAGATATAAACAAGCTAGATAACAGTGTCTAGGTGGGACCCTCACAAGATGTAAACAAGCTAGATAACAGTGTCTAGGTGGGACCCTCACAAGATGTAAGCAAGAAGACATAAACAAGCTAGATAAGTGTCTAGGTGGGACCCTCACAAGATGTAAGCAAGAAGACATAAATAAACAAGCTAGATAACAGTGTCTAGGTGGGACCCTCACAAGATATAAACAAGCTAGATAACAGTGTCTAGGTGGGACCCTCACAAGATGTAAACAAGCTAGATAACAGTGTCTAGGTGGGACCCTTACAAGATGTAAGCAAGAAGACATAAACAAGCTAAATAACAGTGTCTAGGTGGGACCCTTACAAGATGTAAGCAAGAAGACATAAATAAACAAGCTAGATAACAGTGTCTAGGTGGGACCCTCACAAGATGTAAGCAAGAAGACATAAATAAACAAGCTAGATAACAGTGTCTAGGTGGGACCCTCACAAGATATAAACAAGCTAGATAACAGTGTCTAGGTGGGACCCTTACAAGATGTCAGCAAGAAGACATAAACAAGCTAAATAACAGTATCTAGGTGGGACCCTCACAAGATGTAAGCAAGAAGACATAAATAAACAAGCTAGATAACAGTGTCTAGGTGGGACCCTTACAAGATGTAAGCAAGAAGACATAAACAAGCTAAATAACAGTGTCTAGGTGGGACCCTTACAAGATGTAAGCAAGAAGACATAAACAAGCTAAATAACAGTGTCTAGGTGGGACCCTCACAAGATGTAAACAAGCTAGATAACAGTGTCTAGGTGGGACCCTCACAAGATGTAAGCAAGAAGACATAAACAAGCTAGATAACAGTGTCTAGGTGGGACCCTCACAAGATGTAAGCAAGAAGATATAAACAAGCTAGATAACAGTGTCTAGGTGGGACCCTCACAAGATATTAACAAGCTAGATAACAGTGTCTAGGTGGGACCCTCACAAGATGTAAGCAAGAAGACATAAACAAGCTAAATAACAGTGTCTAGGTGGGACCCTTACAAGATGTAAGCAAGAAGACATAAACAAGCTAAATAACAGTGTCTAGGTGGGACCCTTACAAGATGTAAGCAAGAAGACATAAATAAACAAGCTAGATAACAGTGTCTAGGTGGGACCCTCACAAGATGTAAGCAAGAAGACATAAATAAACAAGCTAGATAACAGTGTCTAGGTGGGACCCTCACAAGATATAAACAAGCTAGATAACAGTGTCTAGGTGGGACCCTCATAAGATATCAGCAGGAAGATATAAACAAGCTAGATAACAGTGTCTAGGTGGGACCCTCACAAGATGTAAGCAAGAAGACATAAATAAACAAGCTAGATAACAGTGTCTAGGTGGGACCCTCACAAGATATAAACAAGCTAGATAACAGTGTCTAGGTGGGACCCTCACAAGATATAAACAAGCTAGATAACAGTGTCTAGGTGGGACCCTTACAAGATGTCAGCAAGAAGACATAAACAAGCTAAATAACAGTATCTAGGTGGGACCCTCACAAGATGTAAGCAAGAAGACATAAATAAACAAGCTAGATAACAGTGTCTAGGTGGGACCCTTACAAGATGTAAGCAAGAAGACATAAACAAGCTAAATAACAGTGTCTAGGTGGGACCCTTACAAGATGTAAGCAAGAAGACATAAACAAGCTAAATAACAGTGTCTAGGTGGGACCCTCACAAGATGTAAACAAGCTAGATAACAGTGTCTAGGTGGGACCCTCACAAGATGTAAGCAAGAAGACATAAACAAGCTAGATAACAGTGTCTAGGTGGGACCCTCACAAGATGTAAGCAAGAAGATATAAACAAGCTAGATAACAGTGTCTAGGTGGGACCCTCACAAGATATTAACAAGCTAGATAACAGTGTCTAGGTGGGACCCTCACAAGATGTAAGCAAGAAGACATAAACAAGCTAAATAACAGTGTCTAGGTGGGACCCTTACAAGATGTAAGCAAGAAGACATAAACAAGCTAAATAACAGTGTCTAGGTGGGACCCTTATAAGATGTAAGCAAGAAGACATAAATAAACAAGCTAGATAACAGTGTCTAGGTGGGACCCTCACAAGATGTAAGCAAGAAGACATAAATAAACAAGCTAGATAACAGTATCTAGGTGGGCATCTCAATTGTTAGGAATAAATTTACCATCCCCACCCTCCGGCCAATAGGAGAGAGATAAGATAGGGATAAGTTTACAAATAGGGATAAGGTTCAGGGCTAGGGGCAATTTGAGCAGCGGTTCTTTTTAAAGGTGGCAAATGTCATCAGCTTCATAAGCGCATTCACCAAACCCTTCTTAATAGTTCTAACGTCTGCACTGACAAAATCCTATCACGAACCATATGAGTCTTGTGTGTGTGTGTGCCATGATTCAATAGAACCAAATGAGTCTTGTGTGTGTGTGTGTGCCTTCTTCTTCTTCTTCGTTCTTAATTTTAATGTTGGAAGGGATCCCCCTCCAACACAATTAAGGATATGTGTCAACTTGTTATGCGCCATTCTTTTTGGATTTGCTTCCATAGCCTTTGTCCAACAAAGAACAAACTACAAGGCAGCAGTTGTTTGATTTTGGAGTTGTCTCTCCTAGAAGAGTGGTTGTCCCCAGCTAACGAGCCTCATCTGCCCGAGGGTTCGAACTCTAGACTTTTTGGTGTAGCAACCATGAGCTTTACGAAAACAGAAACGCAACACACAAACACAAAAGAAAACACAAACACAATGCAAACAAACACAATGCAAACACAAATAAAAACACAAATGCAACACAAACACAAAATACAACGCTCATAAATTTGCATTCACATTTTGCTAATTATATTATTGCAACACTAATTCCTTCTAGGACGTCTGTAGATTAAGCATTCACATTTTGAATTTGAATTGAATTTATTTTTAAATTACCTCACTTGGAAAATTTCAAAACAGTTAAATTAATTCGTTTTTTCGACCCTATTATTATTAAAATGTATCCACTTTTTCTAGGAATCTAAACAAAAATGATATTTGACATTGATCCGCTTAATATGTTTTTGCAAAATGAGTGTATTTAATATTTTCTTTATGTTATGCAAAAGAATAAAAACAGTGGCAACTTTAAAAAAATTTAAGTTGTTATATAAACAAACCCTACTCTTTTACTTATAATAAGACAATGCAATGCACTGAAAAGCACTGCATGGTGCGATGTTTACTTTTATGATTCCAAAAACTGATCACACTACCAGCCCGCTTACATTAAAGATTCTAAAGAACTACCTATGCTGATGTGTTTAATTTCATTTTTTTGTATGGTAAGGTTGTTGGACTACGGTAGCAAATATGGTAATGTTAGAATAAAGTACTTCATATGGTAATGTTGTTAGACTACAGTAGCACATATGGTAATGTTAGTCTAAAGTAATACATGTGGTAGGTAATGTTGGTAGAAGATTTGTCGAGTATTGTAAAGCACATATCATTTGTCAAGTATTGTAAAGCACAAGTCATTTGTCAAGTATTGTGGAACACATGTCATTTGTCAACTATTGTGGGGCGCATGTCATTTCAAGTATTGTGTGACACATGTCATTTGTCTAGTATTGTGGGACATGTCATTTGTCAACTATTGTGGGGCGCATGTCATTTCAAGTATTGTGTGACACATGTCATTTGTCTAGTATTGTGGGACATGTCATTTGTCAACTATTGTGGGGCGCATGTCATTTCAAGTATTGTGTGACACATGTCATTTGTCTAGTATTGTGGGACATGTCATTTGTCAACTATTGTGGGGCATGTGTCATTTGGCATTCACGACCCACATTGAAACATTGAAACATGCGAAAAGATAAGCCTGGACCAGTGAGCATGTCTGAAACTGACCTGTAGAAATGCTGCCTCCAGTGGGCATGTCTGAAACTGACCTGTAGAAATGCTGCCTCCAGTGAGCATGTCTGAAACTGACCTGTAGAAATGCTGCCTCCAGTGAGCATATCTGAAACTGACCTGTACAAATGCTGCCTCCAGTGAGCATGTCTGAAACTGACCTGTAGAAATGCTGCCTCCAGTGGGCATGTCTGAAACTGACCTGTACAAATGCTGCCTCCAGTGAGCATGTCTGAAACTGACCTGTACAAATGCTGCCTCCAGTGGGCATGTCTGAAACTGACCTGTACAAATGCTGCCTCCAGTGAGCATGTCTGAAACTGACCTGTACAAATGCTGCCTCCAGTGGGCATGTCTGAAACTGACCTGTACAAATGCTGCCTCCAGTGGGCATGTCTGAAACTGACCTGTAGAAATGCTGCCTCCAGTGGGCATGTCTGAAACTGACCTGTAGAAATGCTGCCTCCAGTGGGCATGTCTGAAACTGACCTGTACAAATGCTGCCTCCAGTGGGCATGTCTGAAACTGACCTGTAGAAATGCTGCCTCCAGTGGGCATGTCTGAAACTGACCTGTACAAATGCTGCCTCCAGTGGGCATGTCTGAAACTGACCTGTACAAATGCTGCCTCCAGTGGGCATGTCTGAAACTGACCTGTACAAATGCTGCCTCCAGTGAGCATGTCTGAAACTGACCTGTACAAATGCTGCCTCCAGTGGGCATGTCTGAAACTGACCTGTACAAATGCTGCCTCCAGTGGGCATGTCTGAAACTGACCTGTACAAATGCTGCCTCCAGTGAGCATGTCTGAAACTGACCTGTAGAAATGCTGCCTCCAGTGGGCATGTCTGAAACTGACCTGTACAAATGCTGCCTCCAGTGGGCATGTCTGAAACTGACCTGTACAAATGCTGCCTCCAGTGAGCATGTCTGAAACTGACCTGTAGAAATGCTGCCTCCAGTGGGCATGTCTGAAACTGACCTGTACAAATGCTGCCTCCAGTGGGCATGTCTGAAACTGACCTGTACAAATGCTGCCTCCAGTGGGCATGTCTGAAACTGACCTGTACAAATGCTGCCTCCAGTGGGCATGTCTGAAACTGACCTGTACAAATGCTGCCTCCAGTGGGCATGTCTGAAACTGACCTGTACAAATGCTGCCTCCAGTGGGCATGTCTGAAACTGACCTGTACAAATGCTGCCTCCAGTGGGCATGTCTGAAACTGACCTGTACAAATGCTGCCTCCAGTGGGCATGTCTGAAACTGACCTGTACAAATGCTGCCTCCAGTGGGCATGTCTGAAACTGACCTGTACAAATGCTGCCTCCAGTGGGCATGTCTGAAACTGACCTGTACAAATGCTGCCTCCAGTGGGCATGTCTGAAACTGACCTGTACAAATGCTGCCTCCAGTGAGCATGTCTGAAACTGACCTGTACAAATGCTGCCTCCAGTGAGCATGTCTGAAACTGACCTGTACAAATGCTGCCTCCAGTGAGCATGTCTGAAACTGACCTGTAGAAATGCTGCCTCCACTGGGCATGTCTGAAATTGACCTGTACAAATGCTGCCTCCAGTGGGCATGTCTGAAACTGACCTGTACAAATGCTGCCTCCAGTGAGCATGTCTGAAACTGACCTGTACAAATGCTGCCTCCAGTGGGCATGTCTGAAACTGACCTGTACAAATGCTGCCTCCAGTGGGCATGTCTGAAACTGACCTGTAGAAATGCTGCCTCCAGTGATCATGTCTGAAACTGACCTGTAGAAATGCTGCCTCCAGTGGGCATGTCTGAAACTGACCTGTACAAATGCTGCCTCCAGTGGGCATGTCTGAAACTGACCTGTACAAATGCTGCCTCCAGTGGGCATGTCTGAAACTGACCTGTACAAATGCTGCCTCCAGTGAGCATGTCTGAAACTGACCTGTAGAAATGCTGCCTCCAGTGAGCATGTCTGAAACTGACCTGTAGAAATGCTGCCTCCAGTGGGCATGTCTGAAACTGACCTGTAGAAATGCTGCCTCCAGTGGGCATGTCTGAAACTGACCTGTAGAAATGCTGCCTCCAGTGGGCATGTCTGAAACTGACCTGTAGAAATGCTGCCTCCAGTGGGCATGTCTGAAACTGACCTGTAGAAATGCTGCCTCCAGTGAGCATGTCTGAAACTGACCTGTAGAAATGCTGCCTCCACTGGGCATGTCTGAAATTGACCTGTAGAAATGCTGCCTCCAGTGGGCATGTCTGAAACTGACCTGTAGAAATGCTGCCTCCAGTGGGCATGTCTGAAACTGACCTGTACAAATGCTGCCTCCAGTGGGCATGTCTGAAACTGACCTGTACAAATGCTGCCTCCAGTGGGCATGTCTGAAACTGACCTGTAGAAATGCTGCCTCCAGTGGGCATGTCTGAAACTGACCTGTACAAATGCTGCCTCCAGTGGGCATGTCTGAAACTGACCTGTACAAATGCTGCCTCCAGTGGGCATGTCTGAAACTGACCTGTAGAAATGCTGCCTCCAGTGGGCATGTCAAACTGACCTGTAGAAATGCTGCCTCCAGTGGGCATGTCTGAAACTGACCTGTACAAATGCTGCCTCCAGTGGGCATGTCTGAAACTGACCTGTACAAATGCTGCCTCCAGTGAGCATGTCTAAAACTGACCTGTACAAATGCTGCCTCCAGTGGGCATGTCTGAAACTGACCTGTAGAAATGCTGCCTCCAGTGGGCATGTCTGAAACTGACCTGTACAAATGCTGCCTCCAGTGGGCATGTCTGAAACTGACCTGTAGAAATGCTGCCTCCAGTGGGCATGTCAAACTGACCTGTACAAATGCTGCCTCCAGTGGGCATGTCTGAAACTGACCTGTACAAATGCTGCCTCCAGTGGGCATGTCTGAAACTGACCTGTACAAATGCTGCCTCCAGTGGGCATGTCTGAAACTGACCTGTACAAATGCTGCCTCCAGTGGGCATGTCTGAAACTGACCTGTACAAATGCTGCCTCCAGTGAGCATGTCTAAAACTGACCTGTACAAATGCTGCCTCCAGTGGGCATGTCTGAAACTGACCTGTAGAAATGCTGCCTCCAGTGGGCATGTCTGAAACTGACCTGTACAAATGCTGCCTCCAGTGGGCATGTCTGAAACTGACCTGTAGAAATGCTGCCTCCAGTGGGCATGTCAAACTGACCTGTACAAATGCTGTCTCCAGTGAGCGCCCATATTTCTTGAGCATGGCATCCTTATGTTGGAACTTGTACAGTGGGGACAGGCTGTATAGCTTCCAGGTTTTTTTTAAAAGTGCTGCAGGAAAAAAGGTTTGGCTATACAGTGGGATTACTTTTCACATTTTACAAACTCTAACTGGCCTCCTCTGTACATTAGCATATAACCTTGCAATAAATTTCTTGCCTATTCTATGGTGAATTCAGTCAATAGGTTTACAGTTAAGTGTATATTCAATGTGTGACCTACTTATGTCTTCTTTTTTAATAGTTTAATTTTATTAATGCTCAAATGGCCTTGAGCTCTCTTTTATTAAATTAAGAAATGTTCCACCAGACTCATGTGACGGTGCTCACAACTGTGCTCATGTTACTCGTGTTTTGGATCCCCCCTATAGTCTTTGAACTTTGTGTCGATATCCCATAATCCTTTGGTGATAGTGATATAAAAAGGAGAATTTTCAGAACACGAGGCGCAAGACACCCACAGAGAAAGAGCCAAGTTGTCCATAAGTTCCAGTGTATTCAGTATTTTCTGTATCATATTTTTATTGAGTGTAGGTTGTGTTGATTAATTAAATGTTTTACCAAGTGTTAGTTTAGTTAGAGATCTATGTGTGTATTCTTGAACAAGTAAGTTGGGTTTTAGATTATTATATAGCTTTCTTCATTGTATAGTATTTTATTAGTAAGTTTAAACTTATTACATTTTAGAAGGTTTTCTGATTAAAAGTTCTGTTAGATTCAAGAGTTCTTTGTGTTTATAATTTTACCCTACACATTGATTATCGAGTCTATGAAGAGTTGTTGTTTCGAGCAAACTTTTATAGTTATTTAGTTCGTCAGTCTAGAACCATCCCTAAAGAATCCGGGTGTTGCGTAAAATAATTTCAGTAATAGAAATACATAACAAATGACAATATTTATCCATAAACTTTGACATTTTTTAATGTCAAACTAATGATGATTAAACCAAGTCAAAAAAACCATACTGACAAGCTTTTCAATCCACTCAAGAAAATACACACTGCTCATATATTTTCACAATCAATTAAAGCTAACATAAAAAAAAGTATAAATATAATAAAAAGTTTATTTACATGATTTAGGGATAATTTATTTATTAGTGTCTAGATTTTAAAAAATTAAAAGCATATATTTTGATATCAATCTATCTATCTATATATATATATAATGCAATGTATGTCTATCTGTCTGTCTGTTTGCCTTTTATGCATTACTACACCTTTCATCCAATCGCCATGAAACTTTGGGAAAAGTTATTGAGAACACTACTGGGGAGGTTTCTACGGAAAAACATATTTCAAATTCGTAGGGGTGGCGCCCCGGGAGGGTGCAATTTGTTTTTTCTCTCTATATGGTATATTAAAATAAAAGTTGATTGCGGTTCGACACCGTTCATCCAATCGCCATGAAACTTTTAGGAGTTTATTAGAACGCTGCAGGGAAGGGTTCTGCCAAAAAAAAAAAATTAATTTCACAAGGGCGGCGCCACGGGAGGGGCGATTTTTCACTATATATGGTATATAAAAATAAACGTCGATTGCGCTTTGACACTGTTCATCCAATCGCAATCAAACATTGGGGAGTTGATTAGAACACTCCAGGTGAGGTTTCTGCAAAAACAGCTTTTTTTTTAATTTCGCAAGGGCATCGCCCCGGGAGGGTGAGATTTTTCTCTATATACGGTATATAAAAATAAAAGACTCAAACTTTGGGGAGTTGATGAATACTGAGATAGGTTTGGCACCCTAGTCTTTCCCGCGAGCTCTATGGCGACTATGTTTGTTCTAAACAGTGTGATAGACAATGGATAAGATGGGGGACTAGAGTCCCTCACTAAATTGAATCAGGCATGTCCGCCAGCGGCCTGCTTTGGCTGCGAACAAAAATTTCAGTTTCGGCCCCCAAAGGCTCAAATGGGCCGCTGAGGGCATTGTAATACATTTTTTTTAATAATGAGAAAATTAACCAATGTTAGATTGTATACTGGGTTTTTTCTTTTCATCCGTAAAAAAGTCCAAACAATTTCAACACTTTGCAATTGATCCAATCAGAAATTAAGATTGAGCGTCTAATAATACACCATTAGTAATGTTAACAAATTGCATCAGTCACACTGATATTTATAATACGTCAAATAATTTTTTTTTACGTGTTAAAGAAAAAAACTGTTGATTTCTGTAACTTTAGCGAATGACGCAATCTGCATCATTGTTTCAGGTTTCTATGTGGTGGTCTGGGTTAACCTGTGTGCTGAGCACTATGGCGCCTATGTTAGTTTTAAGGAGCCAGGATCCGTCCACAGTACCATTGTGGTAGTGTAATCAGGGCCCTGAGAGCACCCCTCTATGTCCCTAAAATATGGGTGGTCACCAAAGTGTGTTCCACCTCATTATTTTGGTGAGTGCACTCAAGGCTTTCATGCGGTAGTGTAGGTAAACCCGTGTCCTGATATTTATGATTAAAGCGCAGACATTGTTTACATTTAAAAACTTTGTTTGGTAACGCATTGATGAAACCCTTCTTATATATTTCGTTAGACTTTCCTCTATCCCCGCACTGTAAGCATTCGCCACTATTTAGTTGTTTTATTTGCTACTTTTCAGTATTTCATAATTTGTGAATTTGAAACTACCCTCTCCCCCCCCCCCCCCAACCCTCAATAAAAGAGGCCGTCTGTAACGACAGTTTACAGACGACAATGAAAAGATCAAGGAGAACTTGGTTTCAAAAGCTGAATTATCTGCCCCTAATAGCCGTCACATTGTAAACATTTGGGGTGATCTACAGCTCACCAGACGTGTGGGGTGTGGGTGGTAGCGATATGCCTAGAGAGCGGGGAAGGAACGGTTAAGCCCTTACTTGGTGGTGTCTTGTATGGTCCCCAAATAGAGAATTATATATATATAGGTTCTTTAAATAACATTTAGCTTCTAACAGCTTTATAAATTTGTAATTAAATCCTAATTTGTTATAAGGTCATGTCCTGTTCAATGAAGCAGCTTAACTCTACTTAATCAGTGTTATAAGGTCATGTCCTGTTCAATGAAGCAGCTTAACTCAACTTAATCAGTGTTATAAGGTCATGTCCTGTTCAATGAAGCAGCTTAACTCTACTTAATCAGTGTTATAAGGTCATGTCCTGTTCAATGAAGCAGCTTAACTCTACTTAATCAGTGTTATAAGGTCATGTCCTGTTCAATGAAGCAGCTTAACTCTACTTAATCAGTGTTATAAGGTCATGTCCTGTTCAATGAAGCAGCTTAACTCTACTTAATCAGTGTTATAAGGTCATGTCCTGTTCAATGAAGCAGCTTAACTCTACTTAATCAGTGTTATAAGGTCATGTCCTGTTCAATGAAGCAGCTTAACTCTACTTAATCAGTGTTATAAGGTCATGTCCTGTTCAATGAAGCAGCTTAACTCTACTTAATCTTGGGCATGAAAGGGAAGAGAAGATGAATGTCAACATGTGTTATGCCCCAATCTCAACATGTGTTATGCCCCAATGTCAACATGTGTTATGCCCCAATCTCAACATGTGTTATGCCCCAATCTCAACATGTGTTATGCCCCAATCTCAACATGTGTTATGCCCCAATCTCAACATGTGTTATGCCCCAATCTCAACAAGTGCTTACAGTGTTTGTAAACTTACCTTGAAATCCAACTTGTGTTGTATCATCTTCAGGGACTCTGGTGCTGGCTGTGACAGAAAGCAAATATCTGATGTAAAAGGCAATAATATTGTCACACAATCATTCTGTGTCTACTGCCACAATCATTCTGTCTACTGCCACAATCATTCTGTCTACTGCCACAATCATTCTGTCTACTGCCACAATTATTCTGTCTACTGCCACAATCAATGAGAGACACAAACATTCAGCAATTAAGCTTTGAAAAATCATTTTCACAATTGAAGCTCCACAGCTGCAAACATTTTTAAGCTATTTTACTTGTGGGATTCAATCTAGCTTTCGCATGGGTGTATGTTTTGTCTGGGGTCAGTTCTAGAAGTCTGGCTGTAGAGAGAGGTAAGGGTCAGTTCTAGAAGTCTGGCTGTAGAGAGAGGTAAGGGTCAGGGGTCAGTTCTAGAAGTCTGGCTGTAGAGAGAGGTAAGGGTCAGTTCTAGATGTCTGGCTGTAGAGAGAGGTAAGGGTCAGGGGTCAGTTCTAGAAGTCTGGCTGTAGAGAGAGGTAAGGGTCAGGGGTCAGTTCTAGAAGTCTGGCTGTAGAGAGAGGTAAGGGTCAGTTCTAGATGTCTGGCTGTAGAGAGAGGTAAGGGTCAGGGGTCAGTTCTAGAAGTCTGGCTGTAGAGAGAGGTAAGGGTCAGGGGTCAGTTCTAGAAGTCTGGCTGTAGAGAGAGACAGGTGGGGTACTCACCTACCAGCCTCCTAGATCTGGGAGTCTGGGTGTAGATCTGTCTTCTGCCAGGCGTGTGAAACCTGCCAGAGTAGGGGGTGTGAATGTGAACCCTTTGTGCTCTGTTTTCTCGTCCACTACCAATTGGTGTTTCTGTCATGTTCATCTGCACATATTAACATACACACATTAACATACACATTCAAAATGAGTTTATCTGCACACATAGATACAAAAATTGTTTATCTACATTCACATACAAAAATGAGCTCAAATAAAATATTGATATGTTAGTCAATACAAAGAAGCGTTAATGTTGGACCTTCTAGTGCCATAAAACTTTAGGGAGTTGATGAATACTCCCGAGGGATTTAATTTCTCAAGGGCGGCCCACGGCAGGATGCAATTTGGCGCCCTGGTCTTTCCTGTGAGCGCTATGGCAACTATGTTCGTTCTAAATAGTAATGTGATAGACAATGAATAAGACGGGGCGTTACAGTCGCTCACTAAATTAAATCAGGCGTGTCTGTCTGTGCCACAATACGGTGCAATAGTCCTAGATATAGCAGCAATCTAGCTAAATCAAACTGCCCTTTAGTAGGGATTTTGGTAAAAAAAACACTAATCATCATATAAAAATAAAAATTAAATATTCTTGTAGAGCTCAACTATATGAAAACAAAACAAAAAAGATTTTCTGTCTAGCTCAAATAGTTTTTTTTTTTTAGCAAATTTTTTTGTGAGGGGTGGAATCCCCTTGTTTTTGCATTGGCCAATTGTGACAAGTCATGGTTTACCTGAATAAATTGAGCATAGTTATTTTACTTGCAGTTGTATTTTGTTCATATTTGCAGAGTTTAGCTAGAATGATATATAGAACTTGTAAATGCTGTTGAAATGAATAAAAATAATAGAGAAGTTATATTTTTGTGTTGGCTTCCTCCCATAACCCCAAAAAAACTGTGTGCTGCACAAATATGAAAATGTTTCTAGAGCCATATTTTATATAAATATAGCAAATGAAAGAACTACAAAGTTAGAAATCTAAAGTAAATGACTTGAACACTGTTATGTGCATATAATTGCCTCATTATTTTGGGCAGGTGAAGTAGAGTCCATATAAAAGCCATTTTGTAATAAGGAAATGAAGTTATCAGATCAACGTTTTAATGTGTGAATTGAATTGTGTATGGATTCTGATTTTCAGCATATAACTATATCTAAGGGTAAGTAGAACTTGAATACTTAAAATTACAGTTAGCACAATGCTAGCGTATAACAACAGACTCAACTTCAACAGACAGGTAACCTAGGTCTGACTCTTGTCAGTCTGACAAAATTGGATTTTAGGAAAAACATATTCTGCAAAACTAGAACTAGAGCTGAAAAAATTAAAGATGGGTAGGCCCCTATGTAAATATATTTTGAAATAAAAAATTAGGAGATTTGTTTGCACATTCCATAAGATTATTAAGAATGCTGTTGTTAGTTGATCAAACTTAAACTTACTTATATAATACTTAGAGGCAGGAAGATCGGGATGAAAAAATATAGGCCTAACAATAATTATTTATTAATTATACTCCTACTTACTGGAAGATCTAGATTTAGTACTTTTACTACTTAGGATCTAGACTTTCTAGACTAGATCTAGAATCTAGTTTCTAGTAGTAGCATAGACTTCTCATTAATAATTATAACATAATTTTTTATTAGATCTGACTTAAAGATCAAGATTTCACCACTTTGTGTTCAACTTCAAATTTTTCCGTCCGCAATTTTAATAACAATGCCACCAGTTCTCTTTATGCACAAAAGAGTTTCAAATATTCATCTAAGTAACAAAACCTAATGACACGAGGACTGACACACTACCACTCAGCAGCGTTATATTAAATACTAGCTGCATACCCGTGCTCCGCCACGGTAAATCTTTTTTTTAAATGTACAAACTTGGGAACAGAACAAAACAAACATAAACGCAACACAAACACAAACGCAAACAAAACAAAACACAACCACAACACAACCACAACACAACCACAACACAGCCACAACACAACCCCAACACAACCACAACACAACCCAACCACAACACAATTACAACACAACCACAACACAACCACAACATTAGAATCCCCACCGAACAACACGCTTTCCTAGGAGTCCGCGCCCAAAGAGAGCCTTTCCAGCATAAAAAATTTAAGTCACATAAATAGATCCTACTCCATAACTTACAATAAAACAATGCGATGCAAATAAATGTACGGCAAGTGGTGTTTACTTTTATGGTTCTAAGAAAACACATTGGCAATATAATTAGAATCACCACCGAAAAACACGCTTTCCCAGGCGTCCGCGCCCAGAGAGAGCCTTTCCAGCATTCTCTATACAATAATTCTAACATTTCACCATCTGTCAACACCGAAAAACAAAAACAAAATAATAATCATTAAAAAAGTTTTAAAAAACCCACGTTTTCTGATTGAACTAAAAAGTAGAAAATAAATGCTATACATCACAATAATGCAAGCGATCACTCTACTATAAGCGATCAAAAACGTGGGGCGCCGAAGTAAAAGTTATATTACTATTGATTAGATAATACTATTGACTTTTATTAGGGAGCTTGTAGAGAGTCAACAGTATTAGAAACTTTAAGAAAATCACGGCGCCCCACTTTTTTGATCGCTTTTAGTAGAGTGATCGCTTGCATTATTGTGATGTATAGCATTTATTTTCTACTTTTTAGTTCAATCAGAAAACGTGGGTTTTTTAAAACTTTTTTAATGATTATTATTTTCTACTTTTTAGTCTTTGTCTGTTTGTTTGCATTAAAATCTTGCTATCGATTTTATCTTTTCACTTTTTTTTGGGTAAACAAGGACAACTCGTAAAAAGACAACTCGTAAAAAGACAACTCGTAAAAAACACGTTGTGTGAATACGTTACTGACTAGAACACATAGATTTGAACCCGTGTTGAGTGGGATAGCAATCGTGTGCCCAACCACTCGACCATATCGTCTCCCCCAAACTGGCCACCAGTGGTAATAGTTATCTCTTGTAACTTTAAAGTCGGTTAAAACTAAATTATCTGCCCCTAAGGCTGTCGCGAAGTGGGATCGTTCGCTTCACTGCGCGCGGCAAGAGAGAGGCTAGCTACGCGTCGCTGGTTTTTTTCTAATGGCTCGCAGAGGAGAATTATATATATAGATTATATAGCGGTCTAAAATGCTCAATAAAATGTTTCCATTGATCAATTTAGTAATAATAACAATTGCATATTCTATGGTCATCCAAAAGAAAGCTTCCCTGAAAATTTCAGCGCGCTAGCTAACTGGGAAGTGCCAGAAATTTCGATCGCAAGATTTGATTGGAAAGACAAACAAATAAACAAACAGAGAAAGCAAGTTAAAGAAAACGTGGTAAAATAGTGATTTTGAGAAATCATAGACTAATTAGAAAATAATATAAATAATCTTAACATTTTTCTATTTTAATTATGAATCTTTAACATATAATAATCAATGCGGTAGTAATAAAAAAAAACTAACTTAAATTATTGATGAGTTAAATTTATTTTTAAATTACGTCCATTGCAAGAATTACAAAAAAAAAAGTTGAATAAATTCCCTTTCTGATAATAAGATACTGCAACGCACAGAAAAGCTCTGCATGGAGCAAACCAGTAAGTGTATATGTGATCCCTTTAATGATGACATAGCGTGCAAAAAAAAATGTTTACTTTTATGGTTCCAAAATCTATAGCGATGACGGAAGGACTGACGCACTACCAGCCCGCTTATATTATACGAGCTGACCCGCGACGCAGCATACGCCGCCATTTAGTTGTTTTATTTTCTGCTTTTCAGTAATTCATAATTTGTGAATTCGACAGTACCAAATGCTGCCACTGATAATATTTGCTTTAAAACACTATCAGTTGCTCGTTAAGGACGATAACCCGCCCCCCCCCTCTTTTCCCCCAACCCCCCCCCCCCCCCTGAAAGCAACCTCCTCTTAGTTACCTCCCTTAAGTTTAAAATAGATTCACACTAAATTATCTGCCCCTAATAGCCCTTACTAAGCCCGGCTCCACGACTGTAAATATTAAGCGTGAACCACAGCTCACCAGACCATGTAGGGGTGGGGTGGTTGCGATATGCCTAGAGAGGAAGAGAAGGGACTGCAAGGCGCGCTTACAGCTTGCTTTCTAACGTCTCCCAGAAGAGAATTCTATATATAGATTTTATAAATAAATAAATAAAAAAAAAAAAATATATATATATATATATATATATATATATATATATATATATATATATATATATATATATATATATATATATATATATATAGTGCGTAGTCAGTTGTTTATTTTGCATCCAGGTACAGTTTACTTTACAATAGCATTAAATGTCTATTCTAAAGATTTGAATACATAAGACTCGTAAATGACGAAATTGTTTTTGCTTACTGAGTTTTCCAAAACTGTCTTTATTTTGAATTAATTGAAAAAAAAACCCCATTAATTACTATATCCTATTTAAACACATTTGATAACAATTTTGTTCTATGATGTAATTTTTAAATTATGAGCACTGTAGTGTGTGAAGAGTGCATGTGGAACTATTTGTGTAGGCCTGATATTTCAGCAGACATCGTGTTTGCTCCATCATAGGACTGATCATAGTTCATTGACAGCCCCAAATTTGTGACTGCCGTAAGAACGGTTTGGAAAAAAAAACAACCTCTGCACTAGCTTTTGGAAGTTTTCAAAATCGAATAAATTTTTCGATGGTGTCTCCATGTTCTGTAACATAGGGGTCGTCCATAAATGACGTCACACGCCTAGGGGGAGGGGGGGGGGGGAGGGGGTTCAAACTTTTGTGACGATGTGTGACGAGGGGGAGGGGGTTAGAGACAGTGTGACGTCACGTTGTCTTAATTCCACGAATTGATTAACATGCATTTCTTTAGTTTTTAGAAAAATAAACATACTAAATACTAAATATTTTTTTTACATTGTTTGCGATACTTCTAAGTTGTCAAAAGATTGTGAAATATATATTTGTTCTAATTAAATTGCCCTATAATTTGACGATGTGTGTTGTGTAGTAGACTGCCGTATATGCAAATTTGTCAATAGTGCTATTTGAATAAAGGTCGGAAGCATGTCAACTAGTGAGGGTAAGGCAGGGGTACCAGTGTAATTCTTGCTATTCTTTGAAGTTTACAGAGTAGGGCAGCCATAATAAAACTTTAAACCCCGTTTCCCGAATACTATATTTAAAAACTATTTACAGAACTTATGTTCACACTTAGGGCTGCGACTTGATGACACGCCTTGTCTCCCTTACATCATGGTGTTCATGCCGATAGCTCATGCTTGTTGAACGATCTAGAGGAAAAATAACTAGTACGATCAGTTCCAAAATCGAGATCACGTGATTTTTGTAGGTGCGGCCAAAAAAAGCGTATGTGTGTAGGGTCAGCTTGTGATGCGTGTTTATTCGATCAACTCAAATAGGCCTACACGTGTCTCGCTGAATAAACTTTGTCTGTGTGAGGCTTTTCAATTGAAAGGTAGATCTAATAATCTCATATATTCTGCTTAAAAATCGACAGTTAATGATGGGTAAAAATAAAATGTTCCAATGTATTTTTGATGCCTACGAGCTGGCATATCCTTAAAAAAGTAAAAAGATTTGCCAAGAAGAAGTCGTTGAAAAGTGGACTCAACTAAAAAGCTATTCAGATCTGCACTTGAAAGCGGAAGTCTGGCTGCAGGAGCTAAATTGCTGCCGCTAAAAAAGGCTCACTTTTGACGTTTTGGGTCAAACAAACATCTGTATCTACATCTACAAATAAGAAAACACCCTATGATTTGGCAAAAGAAATACCTAATAAGTCACTGAAGTCAGATGAAAAAGTGAACGATGCTCATGAAGTCAGTGATTTCAAACCCTCTACCATCAAACTATCAACATCTAAGCAGGATATAGTCCAGATAAACTTACAATCAGATATTGAGATTCTGAATTCTGATCTAGCCGGCTTGTATGAGCGACAAACTCGCGGAATGTTAATGCAAGAACAGAACATGGAGCTTAAAGAAAAAAAAAAAGAAAAAGAGTGATTTGGAAAAAAAGCTAAAGAGGAAGATATCTGATCAAATAAGATCTCAGAAAGCTCGAAATGAAAAGAAAAGAAAACTGAATGCTTTGTTTGAAGAGAATCCGGGGCTACGCGCCACTTTGAATGTTAGATCTAATTCTGGTAGGCCAAGGATTGAAGAAGATCAATCTTCTTTATTGGAAACTATCATAAACATTGCTATGCATGGATCAGCATCACACGAGAGGAGGCAGAACGAAGTCTACAAAACTATTAAAACATTAGATCAGCTAACTGATCAGTTAAAACAGGATGGGTTTATAATTAGTAGAAGTGGGCTGTACCTTCGACTTTTGCCAAGACGTACTTCTTCTCATGAAGGGCAACGACATGTATCGACAGTCCCAGTAAAACTGATAAGAGCGCAAAACGATTGCCATGCAAATCACATTGATCGCTTGTTTACAGCGGCAACACTGCATCACCTAGAAGAGTTAGCTTCCATGCTTGGACCGAATGAGGTATGCTTTGTAAGTCAAGATGACAAGGCCCGCGTTCCGCTTGGGTTGACAGCAGCTAAAAAACAGAGTCCATTGCTCATGCACGTGGAATACAGGGTGAGCTTGCCTGACCATGACTGGGTTGTGGCTGCTGGACATAAGCTGATCCCTTCAGTTTATGGCGGGATAAAAATTCAACCCAACGCCTTGGGAAATCGAGAAGCTGTTGGATACTCCGGCCCAACATACATATCAATCAGATCTGGTAAACATTCCTCATCCACAGCGCTTAGTCATGGACTTGATTTTGAAAAATTACTTACTTGACATGAATTTGATGATATCACAAAAAGCGGTGTGGATCAAATTGTTAAACCAATATTAGTGTTGACGGTTGATGGTGGCCCAGACGAAAATCCTAGGTATCAAAAGGTGATCAAAGTTGCGGTACACCACTTTCTCAATCAGAACTATGATGGTTTGTTCATTGCTACAAATGCACCAGGAAGAAGTGCAATTAATAGGGTTGAAAGAAAAATGGCGCCACTTAGCAATGAGCTCATAGAATTAGTTTTACCCCATGACCACTACGGCAGTCATTTGGATGAAAGAGGAGTCACAATAGACACAGATTTAGAGAAGAAGAATTTTCAGTTTGCCGGAAACACTTTGGCAGAAATATGGTCACACTTGACAGTGGATACGTTTCCTACAGTGGCAGCATACATAGATCTAGAAGAGTCTGAACTTGAAACTTCTCTGCTCTCAAAAGATCAGCGTTGGCACGATATTCTCGTGAGAACTAGCCAGTATTTGACTCAGATTGTTAAATGCATGGATGGTAAATGTTGCTCAAAGCCACAAGCTGTGGACTAACAATACCTGAGCGTTCAACAGATGGCTCTTCATATAAATTTCCATCTCTTTTTTGTTGCTCAAAGTATAAAAGTGGATGAAATCCTTCCCCGCTCTTCAAATCCTTATCGCACAATCCCTTATGATTTGTATTGTCCGTCTGTTCAATCCGTGATCAGCGACAGGGTTTGTAAGAAGTGTCATTCATACTTCTCTTCATTGGTTATGCTGCGCAACCATTCCTTAACTCACAAACAGGAATCATCAATTGTGCCATTACAGCGCATCAGGCCTCTGAGTTGCTGCACGTGAACTGATGGTTATAATTGCCAATTAAATTAATGGTGAGAGTGTAGATTGGATAGAAGAGGAAGATCTTGATGTAAAGGGAATTCCCATTCCATAAAGGTGTGCAGCTTAAAAAATATGTATCCAGTTCAGGAAGATTTATGTATAATATTTTCTAATTCAATAATTCTTAAGCAAATACATTATACAGTGGAGACCCCTCTTGTCAAGGGGTACTGCCCATAGATGTATTTTTAACATCGCAATGCATCGTAATGGTTATTTTTTTAAATGAAAAACTGATACAGTTGTTAATACGTGTTGTAAACGTAGACGCTACTAGTCGAGTACTATTATGCTTAATTTCTGCATGAAAATAAACGTTATGATTTACATAGATGTGCCGACCAAAAATAATGTTTTAACAAATATCATTGCTTAAACCTTTGAATTTAAAAAGGTTTCCAATTAGGTGCCACTTTCCTAAATCGCCAGAGGGGGCGCGGCCGCTCCCCATGCTCCCCCGATGCGTACGCTACTGATATATATATATATATATATATATATATATATATATATATATATATATATATATATATATATATATATATATATATATATATATATATATATATATATATATATATATATATATATATATATATATATATATATATATATATCGCTTACATAGAACCTGACTGTTCTAACATCATTTTTTTAAGAGTGATCACAGCAAGGTCTTAAAGTTTTGTTTCCTCAACAATTTTGAGAGAGGTTTCATAGTCATTAAAATCTTAAAGGAATGAAATACAAACGAGTAAATTTAAATCACTTGCCAGCAACTTGACGACACACACATCAAGAGGCACTCGTCTCAGGCTTATTACACTTGACTCTGTTTGCATCACCATGTTCTCTACACATCACTGACTGTATCAACATGTTCCCCACACATCACTGACTGTATCAACATGTTCCCCACACATCACTGACTGTATCAACATGTTCGCCACACATCACTGACTGTATCAACATGTTCCCCACACATCACTGACTGTATCAACGTGTTCCCCACACATCACTGACTGTATCAACATGTTCTCTACACATCACTGACTGTATCAACATGTTCCCCACACATCACTGACTGTATCAACATGTTCGCCACACATCACTAACTGTATCAACATGTTCGCCACACATCACTAACTGTATCAACATGTTCCCCACACATCACTGACTGTATCAACATGTTCCCCACACATCACTAACTGTATCAACATGTTCTCTACACATCACTGACTTATCAACATGTTTCCCACACATCACTGACTGTATAATTTAAAATAAATAAATGAATGATTGATTGAATGAAATGAATGAACGCATAGTTTTATTAATTAATAAATTAAATAAATAAGTATATATGAGTGTGTGTGTGTGTGAGTGTATTGTTGGTCCAATGGAGTAAGTTATATGTGTTTGTGGGATAAAATTGCCCAGTCCATCTCTGTAGTTTGTAAATTGAGAATATATTACCCCATCATTAAAGGTATCACAGATACACTTACTGGGCTAGCTCTATTGTTGCATGTTGTGTATGTCATCATTAAAGGTATCACAGATACACTTACTGCGCTAGCTATATTGTTGTATGTGTATCTATCGTTCAGGCCACACAGGACACAGAGTCGGCATAGGCCGCTACGCCTCTGTTGCTTGGTTTGATGCGCTAAGCTGGATAGTCTCTTATGTGTTAACAGTTCACATATGTGTTCACATTTGTGTTCATCAGTTCACATTGTGTCAACACTTTACATTTGTTTTCAACACTTAAGGGGCAGGGATGAGCCCTTTCCTCAACATTTCAGTACAAAAGTCGACTCACACTAAAGTGTCATTGATTATTAAAGGAAACAGATTGTCGACTCACACTTAAGTGTCATTGATTACTAAATGAAACAGAATGTTGACTCACACTAGATTCTAAATGTCATTGATTACGTGTTCGTTGGAAATTTGAAAAACTTGAAACTTTCTAAAAATAAATCAGGATGTCTCCAATAAAAGCGTTCGACCATTTGTGTATTGTAAGCTAAAGCGTTCGACCATTTGTGTATTGTAAGCTAAAGCGTTCGAACATTTGTGTATTGTAAGTTCTTGAAGAAGTCACATTTCACGCAATAGTTTGAATAAGGTCAGTTCAAATCGTATGTTTGCTCACACTTTGCTAAAATTTCTTTTTAAAACTTACAATCAGTATTTGTTTTCTTCGTCTAATGTGAAGTAGGTCTATAGCCGCCCTAATGTGTAGGCTAGTAGGTCTATAGCCGCCCTAATGTGTAGGCTAGTAGGTCTATAGCCGTCCTAATGTGTAGTAGGTCTATGGCCGCCCTAATGTGTAGGCTAGTAGGTCTATAGCCGCCCTAATGTGTAGGCTAGTAGGTCTATAGCCGTCCTAATGTGTAGTAGGTCTATGGCCGCCCTAATGTGTAGGCTAGTAGGTCTATAAGTAGTATATTAGGTCACTTTTGGGTCGCAGGCGCAGGCGCACCCAGGATGCGCAAAGGATATATAGCAAAATACTCGGATGCGCAGGCGCAGCCTGCCGCAGCCTGGCGCAATGAGATATAGTAAAATACTCCGGATGGGGATGCGGATGGGGATGGGGATGCGGATGGGGAGGATGCGCAGGGATGCGCAGGGATGCGGATGGGGAGTAGGTCAGTAGGTCAGTAGGTCACCACCGGTGACCTTGTGACGTAATCACCGCAGGTGACCTAGTTACGTAATTTTAATGAGTTTTTTAATTAGTTTAATTTTTTATTTTGACCCAGTTACGTAATTTTAATGAGTTTTTATTACGTATGTAAGCCCTGCTAGGGGGGGATACCTAATATCTACCCTTCTAGGCTTATCTAACTAACTACTGTCCGGTCAGTGCAAGCCCGGATAAACCCAGACTGGTTAATAACCTAACCTTAGTCTAAAATTAAAAAAAACTACTAAAATAAAACAAAGAAACTTAAACAATATAATAAAATTTATTTAACAAAATAATAAATATGGAACCAAAGGTTATTATAAAAAAACCAGAATCTAGATCTAGACAAAATAAAACACTCAAGACATACAAAACAAACAGAACTCAACGAAACAAAACACCCAATTTCGGACCACCGTCCTAGAAAGAGGAAAAATAAGAAAAATCAATTTAAAATGTAAAAAGTTATACACAAGGCAGTAAGCTGACACAATTGTCAGCCTAAACAAGAGGCTCTCATAAATGAAAGTAAAATCTACAATAATCCATGACTAAACCCAGGCCATCGTGCTACCACGTGGTCTGGATAAAACAAACATTGAAACTTCTCAAAGTCAAGACTAAATAGATCTAGTACGTAGTCACTTTGTATACAAAATAAGCAAACAAAAATATGGAAAACATAATAAAACACTATAAAAATAACCCTACGTTACCATACACCATATAAAGGTGTCACAGAAACTCTTTAACACACAGGCCTCGACATTCCAGCAGAACGTCCCTCCCTGTCGACACCCCACATTCACGAACAAAGAACCCAATACTACGAACAAAGAAACCAAAGCTACGCACAAGAAAATAGTCCCTAATACAACAATAACTTACATTCAGGACATAAAGCAAAGTGGAGCAACAATTCAAAACAAAGTTTGCATAAATAATAACATTAAAATATAAACAAGACACAATAACCAGGCTACAAACCATTGTAAAATCGAAATCATATCAGCGCCATAATAGCGGACTACTTAACTAAAAACCACAACAATCCTCAAAGGAACATAAAAAGCGACATTCGCCTTCTTAGTTACAAATAATTATAATAACAGATAAACACACTCCAGCCGCTCACATACACGCCCCTTAAAGCTTGCGGTCACCGCAAGCTAAATAACATGAAAAAAATCAGCCCACAGGGCACAATCATAATTTTACAAAAACAAAATTTTGCAAAAAAACTTGAAAAAAATCAGCCCACAGGGACAATCATAATTTTACAAAAACAAAATTTTGCAAAAAAACTTGAAAAAATCAGCCCACATGGCACAATCATAATTTTACAAAAAACAAAATTTTGCAAAAAAATCAGACGATGTGGCTGTAGCAGCCGGCGGTACAACTTTGACCGGCCTTGGGGAGGGCGGTTGAGCCTTGGGAGGCACATATCTCCTAATCTGTGTACTGGCCACCCGGCGGGTTCCAGAAGGGCCATCTTTCTTTTTAATGGCGTAACCCCCGCCGGTGATCGGAGGTAATTCGACAACGACATAAACTGTCGGGCCGTCCAGGTCGGCCATTTTGCGTCTGCCAAGTGGGGGTTGTCTCAGAAGGACCAGGTCGCCTATGGCCAGTTCAGCTACAGGTGCCTTTTTGACCTGTTTGTCCTTCTTGCTTGACTCTGTCTGGGGGCATGCCCCAGCACCACCACCTGGTGCCTTAATTAAGGATGGGTTAGGTGGAACCATTGCCTCTAGTTCCTCAGATTGGTCCACCTTTACACTGGTTATGCTGGCGCGTAGGCAGGATGTTGGGCCTGATACCACTGACGGATCTGGGTGAAAAGGTTGGTCTAATGGCTGTACCACCTTGTCGTCCTTCATTCTGGAGTCTCCTTCCGTCGCCTGAATGGTTGGTACACCCTTGGCAGGCACCAGAGTCCTTTCGCGGGGGCGGAGGACCTTGTCCCCTCGCCATACCTTCGGTGTCACTTGATTCCCTTTGGGCACATATTTCTTTGCCATATGGCAATGACGGGCGAGGTGACCCCTCTGGTGACAGTTATAGCAGCCCTTTGATTGGACCTCCGTGCGCTTGCGAGGTGCTTGGCGCACATTGGACAATTTGGTGCCCCGCGTAAAGTGCTTCAGCAGAGCAGCAAGCTGCTCGGTGAGCCTGTTGACTTTGTCCTCCAGCTTGGACCTGAACGAACATTTTTCAATGGGCCTGGCATTTATTGCTGCCACGTAGGCAGGTCCAGCAAGAGGGTCCTCGTCTCCAGACCATCGAATGGCCGCATCACGTATGGCCAGGAAGGGGATCTTGGGGTCCCGGAAAATCAGCTCGTGCAGATGGCGTCTGACTGTGGCCTGGCTCAGGTTTTCCACAAACTGGTCTCGAAGAAACCCTGCATCAGTCTGTGGGACCTGCAGGGCACTCTGCCTCGTAACCAGGGTCTTGAAGGCCCTGTGCAGTCGGTGCGAGTAGGCCCTCACCGACTCGTGTTGGCCCTGTACAACCATCTGAAACTGGGCCATGAGCTGCGGTACTCTCCTCTTCTCGCCGTACACCTCTCTGAGGAGCCTGAGGGTGGCTTCTGGGTCATGCTGCAGGTCATCACCCCTGCAGCTCAGCTCGTCTCTCACCGCTTCCCCCAGGTACTGCCAGAGGAGGTCCTTCCTCTCTTCTACTGAGAGGTTTCCCCTGGCCCTCCAGAGGGACTGGACCTCTTTGATGAACCGGTCCACCTCATAGCCATGGCTGTCCCCATGAAACTTCCTGATGAGGATCTCCCTGGGTGGAACGATGATGATGGTTGGTGCCACCTCTGCCATCTCGTCCGAATTGGGTGTTTTAAACAACAAACGGTTCCTACACTAAACAAAAACTAAACACAAATGGTTCCATAAAGGGCCTATCAAGAACAAAAATTAAACTAAGCTACACCTAGCCCTATCAAAAAAAGACAAAAATTTACCTAGACTAAAGCACTGACCCCACTCGTGTTACCAATTTGTAAGCCCTGCTAGGGGGGGGGGGATACCTTAAAATCTACCCTACCCTTCCCTAGGCTTATCTACTTTTAACTACTGTCCGGTCAGTGCAACCGTGGTCGAACCCACAGTGGTTAAACCCTAACCTTAGTCTAAATAATAAGCTACTAAAATAAAACAAAAAAACTTTAACAAAAATATAAAATTTATTTAACAAAATAATAAATATGGAACCAAAAGTTATTATTAAAAACCAGAATCTAGATCTAGACAAAACACTCAAGACATAGATCTACAAAACAAACAGAACTCAACGAAACAAAACACCCAATTTCGGACCACTGTCCTAGAAAGAGGAAAAATAAGACAAATCAATTAATTACTTTACAAAGAAAAGTTATATACAAAGCATTAAGCTGACACAATTGTCAGCCTAAACAAGAGGCTCTCATAAATGAAAGTAAAATCTACAATAATCCATGACTAAACCCAGGCCATCGTGCTACCACGTGGTCTGGATAAAACAAACATTGAAACTTCTCAAAGTCAAGACTAAATAGATCTAGTATATAGTCACTTTGTATACAAAATAAGCAAACAAAAATATGGAAAACATAATAAAACACTATAAAAATAACCCTACGTTACCATACACCACATAAACGTGACACAGAAACTCATCAACACACAGGCCTCGACATTCCAGCCGAATGTCCCTCCCTGTCGACACACCACATTCACGAACAAAGAAACCAATACTACGAACAAAGAAACCGATGCTACGCACAAGAAAATAGTCCCTAATACAATAATAAGTAACATTCAGGACATAAAGCAAAGTGGAGCAACAATCCAAAACAAAGGTTGCATAAATAATAACATAAAAATATAAACAAGACACAATAACCAGGCTACAAACCATTGTAAAATCGAAATCATATCAGCGCCATAATAGCGGACTACTTAACTAAAAACCACAACAATCCTCAAAGGAACATAAAAAGCGACATTCGCCTTCTTAGTTACAAATAATTATAACAACAGATAAACACACTCCAGCCGCTCACATACACGCCCCTTTTCGAGACCAGTTTGTGGAAAACCTGAGCCAGGCCACAGTCAGACGCCATCTGCACGAGCTGATTTTCCGGGACCCCAAGATCCCCTTCCTGGCCATACGTGATGCGGCCATTCGATGGTCTGGAGACGAGGACCCTCTTGCTGGACCTGCCTACGTGGCAGCAATAAATGCCAGGCCCATTGAAAAATGTTCGTTCAGGTCCAAGCTGGAGGACAAAGTCAACAGGCTCACCGAGCAGCTTGCTGCTCTGCTGAAGCACTTTACGCGGGGCACCAAATTGTCCAATGTGCGCCAAGCACCTCGCAAGCGCACGGAGGTCCAATCAAAGGGCTGCTATAACTGTCACCAGAGGGGTCACCTCGCCCGTCATTGCCATATGGCAAAGAAATATGTGCCCAAAGGGAATCAAGTGACACCGAAGGTATGGCGAGGGGACAAGGTCCTCCGCCCCCGCGAAAGGACTCTGGTGCCTGCCAAGGGTGTACCAACCATTCAGGCGACGGAAGGAGACTCCAGAATGAAGGACGACAAGGTGGTACAGCCATTAGACCAACCTTTTCACCCAGATCCGTCAGTGGTATCAGGCCCAACATCCTGCCTACGCGCCAGCATAACCAGTGTAAAGGTGGACCAATCTGAGGAACTAGAGGCAATGGTTCCACCTAACCCATCCTTAATTAAGGCACCAGGTGGTGGTGCTGGGGCATGCCCCCAGACAGAGTCAAGCAAGAAGGACAAACAGGTCAAAAAGGCACCTGTAGCTGAACTGGCCATAGGCGACCTGGTCCTTCTGAGACAACCCCCACTTGGCAGACGCAAAATGGCCGACCTGGACGGCCCGACAGTTTATGTCGTTGTCGAATTACCTCCGATCACCGGCGGGGGTTACGCCATTAAAAAGAAAGATGGCCCTTCTGGCACCCGCCGGGTGGCCAGTACACAGATTAGGAGATATGTGCCTCCCAAGGCTCAACCGCCCTCCCCAAGGCCGGTCAAAGTTGTACCGCCGGCTGCTACAGCCACATCGTCTGATTTTTTTGCAAAATTTTGTTTTTTGTAAAATTATGATTGTGCCATGTGGGCTGATTTTTTCAAGTTTTTTTGCAAAATTTTGTTTTTGTAAAATTATGATTGTGCCCTGTGGGCTAATTTTTTTCATGTTATTTAGCTTGCGGTGACTGCAAGCTTTAAGGGGCGTGTATGTGAGCGGCTGGAGTGTGTTTATCTGTTGTTATAATTATTTGTAACTAAGAAGGCGAATGTCGCTTTTTATGTTCCTTTGAGGATTGTTGTGGTTTTTAGTTAAGTAGTCCGCTATTATGGCGCTGATATGATTTCGATTTTACAATGGTTTGTAGCCTGGTTATTGTGTCTTGTTTATATTTTTATGTTATTATTTATGCAACCTTTGTTTTGGATTGTTGCTCCACTTTGCTTTATGTCCTGAATGTAAGTTATTGTTGTATTAGGGACTATTTTCTTGTGCGTAGCATCGGTTTCTTTGTTCGTAGTATTGGTTTCTTTGTTCGTGAATGTGGTGTGTCGACAGGGAGGGACATTCGGCTGGAATGTCGAGGCCTGTGTGTTGATGAGTTTCTGTGTCACGTTTATGTGGTGTATGGTAACGTAGGGTTATTTTTATAGTGTTTTATTATGTTTTCCATATTTTTGTTTGCTTATTTTGTATACAAAGTGACTATATACTAGATCTATTTAGTCTTGACTTTGAGAAGTTTCAATGTTTGTTTTATCCAGACCACGTGGTAGCACGATGGCCTGGGTTTAGTCATGGATTATTGTAGATTTTACTTTCATTTATGAGAGCCTCTTGTTTAGGCTGACAATTGTGTCAGCTTAATGCTTTGTATATAACTTTTCTTTGTAAAGTAATTAATTGATTTGTCTTATTTTTCCTCTTTCTAGGACAGTGGTCCGAAATTGGGTGTTTTGTTTCGTTGAGTTCTGTTTGTTTTGTAGATCTATGTCTTGAGTGTTTTGTCTAGATCTAGATTCTGGTTTTTAATAATAACTTTTGGTTCCATATTTATTATTTTGTTAAATAAATTTTATATTTTTGTTAAAGTTTTTTTGTTTTATTTTAGTAGCTTATTATTTAGACTAAGGTTAGGGTTTAACCACTGTGGGTTCGACCACGGTTGCACTGACCGG